ACCTGATTAAGTTACTAAAGTGGGGTGACTGGAGACATCAGTCAGAACATGCCATCGTTGATCACGCAATACTTGTTAAATGGATGCCGTTAGATCAACTTATGTTACGTAATCTGAGCACGAACTTGCTGAACTCAGACACTGCCTTTTGGTCAATCAGGAATGATCAAAGTTATACACACGCACTCCTAGTGTAATGGAATTCCTCATCGATCAACTAGAAGTGTCTGTTTCTTTTCTATTTCTTTGGTCGAACTGTCTTTTGGTAATACGGCTGATAAAATTAAAGTGATTTGAGCGTTTTTCTTAGTTTAGTCCATGTAGACTTAGCCGATTAGGTGAATTAACACCCAGAACGATCTAAACCGGTCTATTTGCTTTCAAATATGTATTTCTAGTGGTCAAACAGAGACATGTTTTCATCGCTAGCCATCGAGTTTTGTTCCAACTTGGCTTTTAATGGCGGGATTCAAGCTGATTTAAGCAGAGCTTCCAATGCGGAAAAAATAATTTCAAACTCTATACAGCTTCATAAATCAAGTAATTGGATGGAAACGGAGTATTAAGCAACTTTGTTGAGTGCAAGCCTTTTGCTACATAATCTTGGGTATTCTATTACTTGAACAAAACAAAGTTAACAGGGTTCCCAAATACACCGAAACTTTCTGTGACACCGATGTCATATTTGGTCTTTGGAATTAAGATTATGTTATTTTGTAATCATACTATGTATCATTCTAGTGCCCTAAACGCTTTGTAATCTAGTCACATGCACGGAAGAAGTCTACGTGCGGTGAGCATTACAAAAACATTTTGATGTCACGGCTAGACCGTCTGCTTAATAACCGCTTGGTAAGTTCACCAAAACAAAAAGCATCTGTTGTGTAAATGTAGGAAATCCGGGAAGACCTCAGCAACTTGTAGGAATTGACGGAAAATACTACTACTCTGATGCATAGGAAACAAAGGCTGTCGCTTATTGTCATGTCAGCATGTTCAGACAGGGTAGAAACCTATGACGGTCCTGTATTTGAAGACTTAACCTACTCCATCCTCTGTGGTTGGCATGTGGCGGCCTATTCGACCATATGCATACGGTCTGGCCGTTCAACCACTGCCTGCCATATGCAGGCAATGACAAATGTACACCATTAACCAACTTTTCAAAACCAACGCTTGTAACATTTAAATCTAGATCTAATATAGTTACCTGCAGAATTACAGTCTGAAAAATTCCCCAAGGAAAACACAGAGAGCCCGAATAACTGACTGAGGCGAATGAATACGAAAACTCGAATGTTTCACCCACGTCTGGCTGCTGACCAACTGTTAATGGCTTTGGAATGGAGTCTAGTTGAAAGTAAATCAACTCATAAAGAACACAGCAAAATTCATCTTCAGTGTCAATGTCTGTCTTCTATTATATCAGGTGACACCAAACATTTCCTTCCTAAACCAGTCTACCGTTTTGTTGTATATTTATCGGTCGGATGGAAATAAGGCCAAATTATAGGATTACATACCCACAAGCAGCAGTGTAACGACGATAACTCTTGCACACCAAACGACATGGGCCATTCCCATTCAACGTCTGATAATTTTTGGATAGGGGGTGCAAACTGCTGGTTTGATTTCATTCTCACGTCATCACTCACAGTCTCCGCTCTTGATAATAAAGCAACAGGCATCAAAAATTTTTGGAAGTGGATTTCATGGGAAGCCACGAGTTTAAGTAAGCTCTGATCCACACCCAATCTAATCGGATAGTATATATATATATGTATATATATTTCACGTTCACACCATCCTAGTTCGAACGGTCCTCCTACCGTCCAGGCGAAGTTATTCTGGTGACTCCACACCAGTTCTTCTTCTGTTAGAACTTATCAGCAGTGTATAGCCTTTGCTGCCAGCCATCCGGCAAGCGAGAAGAGTATGTCACCAGCACTTCGCAGGCGCACGCTAAGCGCACCTAAATCATCACATCTGAACAGTCAAACATGTTCGCGCTTGAGCGGTATGGTTGAGGCGTTCGACAACCCGAAGTATGTGTTAATCAGCAACAGTCCCCGTTGTGTCGATCGACTGACCCTCCTGTTAGAACTGCTCA